GTCTCAGTCAGGTAAGGGTCCAAATCTTGACTTCGGCTCAGGTCACGATCTCAGAGTTGTGAGATGGAGCTCCACACTGGGCATGGAGTCTGCTTGAGATTCTCTCCCCATCTCTCTCCCTCACTCATACAACAATCAGGCATAAAGCCGAAACATCCTGAGCACACATGCCCATGGTTCTCTGCGAGCAAACAGACTCACCCCAGTGCCTCAGGTCAGCGCCCTCAGTCCTCCGGGACATCCCCTTCAGGGTAGTCCACTGTCCAGTAACTTTCTGTACTAAGTCCCACACTTTAAATGCTTCACTGAAGATTTAAATCATTTTAAAAGTATCACTTATTAGAAGCATCATCCTGGGTAAAGGCCAAATATAAAATATCACTCCCTCAACCACTGCAATGAACCGGCCGCCGAATCAGGATGCCCCAGAGAGGGCTCCTGACAACTGCAACTCCAGTTTGAGGCTTGCTTTCTGCTGTGCTGCTCAGGAGCAGGTACATCACGGACGTGGTGCCCGTGGTGCCCGGGCTCACGGCGTCCAGTGGCTGCCCAGACAGTGCGAATGTAGGCAAACGGGGGCACCGGTCGGTCAGTCCTCCCACTGCCTGGGGCCCTCCGCACTCCCTGTGCACACTCACACCCTCTGCATTCTGTCGGGGATCCAGCCAGCTCTACCTGCCAATATACCCAGAATCCAGCTGCTTACCACCTACACATCCTGGTCAAGCTCCCGCAGGTCATCCGGCTTCTGAACTTCTGACCGATTCTCCACAGAGCAACCACACTGCCATGCTATCCCACCACCAAAGAGCCACCGGTCCCGCCGCTCGGGTCAGCGTCCTGGCCATGCCAACAAGACCCTGCCCCCACCACCTCTGCCTCACTGCACCACAGCCACAGCACTGCGGTGATTCCACCTCAGGGCCTTTGTGGTCACGACTCCCCTACCTGGGACACCCCCGACAAAGGCCTTCGCCACAAGTGGCCCCAGAGCCCGCCCCCATCCCGTGCCCACCACGACCATCTGAAATGGCAGCTGGCCCTCGATCTCATCTTGCTCTTCTCCAGGGCATGGTCCCCATGGCTCAGCTCCACCGAGTCTGCTTCTTCTATGGAGCGAGCACCCCGAGGGCAGGCGAGCACTCAGGTGGGAGTTGTGCCCAAGCTCACCACTAGAGGGCGGGGGACCCCTCTCCCATGGGGACCCCTGTGCTGCAGCCCCACAGGGGCGGGCACCCCCTGCCAGCTACCTGCCTGGACAGCCACTGCTCTTCGGGACTGCTCTCCCTCTTGGGATGAACACGCCGCCCGCGTCTGCCGCACAAAAGAGGAAGAAAAAAAACCCCACCGGGTTGTCAGGGAGCTGGGTGGCCACCGGAGGGCTGGGGAGGGGCACACACACACACAACCCAGAAGTGGAGGTCCCAGTGTCAGCGCAACACGGGCTGGCCAGACGCAGCAGGAAACAGCTTGAGGACGATGATTTCCCCTGAGCCCCCAGCCCCTGCCCAGGGCTTGCCCTCCTGCAACCCCAGCATGACCCACCTGGCTTCACCCCAGCCTCTTGGCCTGGCGCCCTGGGTCCGGGACCCCTGAAGCTGGGTGTTTATGGGTATTTTTGGAGGAGCAGGCCAGACTCCCAAGGCATTCCCAAGGGGCCTTGACCAAAGACGGGCTCGGAACTCTGCTGCTATACCCAGCCTGGCTCTGGCAGACGCCGCGGTCGGGGACCCTGGGGTGGGGCTCCTGCCCCCACATCCCCAGGTCAGGAGAGGGGGCTCAACTCTCTCCACAAAGTTCAAACAATCCCTTTCCTCCTCATCTACACTATGAACCCCGCCTGACCCCAGCCCAGAGCCTCAGCTTCTGGGCGGGTCTGGTCACCGGAGACCGGCCAGAGCGAAGCCTGGAGCCTGCAGCCCCACCCCCACCCTCCAGGCCTCGGGGAGCTTCCACATCCTGGCAGACGGCCCACCCCAACTCCATGGGGACGGCAGCCCCTACGCTCGGGACCCTGCGCACCGCACCCTGTGTGGCTCTTCGCCTGTTCATCTGCGTCTGTCATGCTCTTCGTAACGTGATAAGCCGCTAAACGTAGCGCAGGAGCAGCTCTAGCAAAGGATGGAATATGCCAGGAGCAGGCTGTGGGAACCCCGAGTCTCAGCTGGTTGGTCACCCGTAGGCGTGACAAGCCCGCACCCCCCACGTGCGACTGGGGGTCAGTCTGAGGGTCTGCACTAGTTCTAGCAGTCAAGGTCAGATCTGAAGCCAGACTCCCAGATGGCTCAGACAGTTGCAGGGTTGGTTGGTGGGGGAAAATCCCAAACAGTTGTTGTCAGAAGAGCTGTGAGTAGAGGCAAAGGTGGCTTTCTCTTTAAGTGCTGGACGCCACAACTCTGCCCTCAGTCACTGCCGCCCCAAGGTCCACACTGAGCTGGTCTAGTCTCTCCTTCTCCCTCAGCTCCGGCTGGGAGGCCAGAGCCTTACCACCCAGCTACATGCCCCCATCCGAGTCCCCCGTCAGGTCAGATGCTTGCATCCACCCAACACCACCTGCTGCACCCACGGCCCAAGCGGACCGCATCACCTGCACTGCCCAGCAGGCTGCTGACCCTGCTTCCAGCCTAAGCCCCTCCGACTCGGAACACAGAGCCTCAGCTACCACCCGCAGGGACCCCTGAGCCTCCCGTGCCTCCCCTGGTCCTGGGAGGACAGATGCCTGGTGGGGTCCCTCCTTGGCCTCCCCCATCTCAGCAAAGGGCCCCTCTGCCCTCCAGGCTCAGGAAACCTGTTCTGTCATCTTTTCCCTCATGCTCAGCACCCTGCCCAGCCACAAGTCCTGCTTCAAAGAACATCCTTAATCTGCCAGCAGCAAAATTGAGGACACGAGAAACCCCAGAACTGTGCTGTCCAACGAGGCAGCTTACCTGTGGTGTTCAAGTTTCAATTACTTAAATAGGATAAAACTGAAAATTCAGTTCTTCAGGCACACTGGCCACATTCCAAGTGCTCAGGACGGCTAGAGGCTGCCTGGCTGGACAGCACAGACCAGAACGTTCCTGTCATGCTAGAAAGTCCAGATCAGAGGGGTTGTTCCAGAAGCCACGTCTCTGGCCTTTTCAAAGTCAATTTCAATTTAAAAAATAGGGAACTTAGAAATTAAGAAACTTAAGAAGCATCAACCAACTGCAATATCTGAACCTTTTTTGGATCCCATTCTCATACATGAACTCTTTTAAAAGCCTCATGGGAGGGACACCTTCGGCTCAGGTCATGATCCTGGGGTCCTGGGATCAAGCCCCGCATCGGGCTCCCCGCTTACCAGGGAGCCTGCTTCTCCCTCTCTCTCTCTGCCTCTCCCCCTGCTTGTGTTCTCTGTCTGTCAAATAAATAAATAAAATCTTAAAAAAAAAAAAAAAGGCTCATGGGAGATAACCACATGTGGAAATTTTCCATTAATTAGCTTGACTGAGGTAATCATTTCACTATGCATAGGTAATAAAATTGTCACATTGTACAGCTTAAATACATACAATTTTTACTTAAAACATATAAATAAAAAAGTTTAAAACATAAGGGACACTCAGGGAAACATGAGCACTGTCTGTACAAACAGGCATGTGTACATCCAGATTTTAGCTGTGATGATGTGTTTAAACTTGTCTTTTACAGACACACTGAATCACAGGTGAAATGTTAGGACGTCTGGGATTTGCTCTGAAACAGCTCAGGGCGAGGGACACGGGAGTGGGGTGGTGGTGGATACGAGTGGCCAGGTGTTGGTCACTGTTAAAGCTGGCTGATGGGAAGATGCAGATGCCCTGAACTATTCTCTCTACTTATGCAAACGTTAGACGGTAAATAGCAATAAAAGGTAAAGTACACATGAAGGTGAAGAAACGCACAGCGCATTCATGGACACTTCCTGTCATCCCCACGCCGCCCCACCGCCCCCGGCTCTCCCCTGGGTTCCTGGGACGACCTCATACCCCATTCTGCTGTACCCCTGGGTCCTCCCCATTTCCCAGTCAGATAGAAAGATAGTTCAAGATAAAAATGTGCACGGACACAACGCTCTCCTTCTGAGAGCTCTACAAAGGCCTCCCTTCTGTCAGAACCTACGCAGAGGTTCCTCCACGAACCAGCTCATGTTTCTAGACATGGCCTTGGTGGGCCGGGGGGGGGGGGGGCGCCTCTCTCCCTGGGGAAGGGTCCAGGTGGTAAGCTGAAAGTACTTCAGACTTCCTCCCGGCAGTTAACATCCCTAGATGCTGGGTAGAAAAGGAGAAATTTCAGGGAGTGCTTCCTGCTAGGCTTATCTGGTCTGGTGTTACCTACACCTGCTGTAGGCAAGCCCTGAGCCTCAAGCCTGGAAGGGACCCCAGAAACCTCAGGGTGTGCAGAAGCTATGAATCTCAAACCAAAAAAAAAGAAAAAAGAAAACAAAAGCTGCACTTGGGGAAGCTTGAGGAAAATGACTCAAAGTGTCCCCACAAACTTTTACATAGCTGGAAAGGGCCCTGAAGGAGCAAGACAGAGGATCGTGGGCTCTTGAGGCCAACGTGGAGGCCCACAGACTTGAGGTGCGTCCCCACCCCTGGGGGCTGGCTCAGATCTGGCAGGAGTAGGAGGCCCCATCTTGTGAGTGTCAGGGGGCTGAGCAGGATGCTTCACTGTGAGAGCCACTGATCGGACGGGCTTTATGAGGATGGAGAGACAGGACAAGAAAAGTAAAGGCAGATTCTCAGAAGGGTGGCAATTCCTGGGGCGTTTTAAAAAGGATGCAGTGGAGAGAAGTCGTTCCCACTTTTTCATTTAACTAGGGAATCAGTTCATGAGTGCCGGGGCTCAGGAAATTTTAATGAACTTCCCAAAGCAGCGGTGACCACCAGCAGAGCCAGTGCCCCGTCAGCTCGGGGTGACCAGGCTCCCAAGGACTGGAGAGAGCTGCCGGGTGGGGCCCAAGTCCACTCTCGTTCCTGTTTACCCAACGCACTCACCTTGGTGTCCATGGGCTGGGATGTTGCTAAGTTAACATGGTTTCCCTTTCAAGGGAAACAGCTGATGAGTCCTGGCTGCCTCTCAGGTTCCTTGTTCCTAAGACAAGGTACATAAATGCCAACCCCTCATCCCCTTAGAAAACTGCAAAATTAAAACATGCACAGACACCAATACTATAATTTTCCCAAACTAAAAAAAAATGAGGATTGAGTTCAGGAAGCTTGGGGTTATCTCATCTCACGTGTCCCTCCCCCTCCAGGTCCGTGCAACGGGTCCCCACCCCCAATTCACACCTGCGCTTGGGCTGACCAGCAGTGAAAAGGGAGAACTGGACCCCAGGCAAGGAGGTTCCTACAGGGCGAGCGGCCGGCTTCTTCCTGTCAGTGTCAAAGCGCGGTCAACAGGGATGGACACACTCGCCCCAGCTCACTCCCACACAGGACTCTCGGCCTGTTTACTTCATGTCTGTGCTTTCAGGAAAGCAAAGATTGTTCAAAGACTTGATGCCAGCAGCTCGCCTTTCCCCTTTACGCCTCCGAAGGTCTAGGGTCGAGTGTGGACGCGCGCTGGGGGTCCAGGACCGCTGCCAGGGCAACAGACGCACCTGTAATCTGACCAGGCCCAGGGCTTAGTGCCCTGGGGCGAGCCCCTTACCCTTGCAAGGCTCCATCTCCCGCCAGTGTGGCGGGGACGACTCCAGGCCAGCCCTGGCCCCGCACAGCTGAGGCTGCTCCACCGCGGGACACTCCGCACCTTCTCGCAGGACTCGCGGCGGCCCCAGCACCAACCGCCCGGAGAGAGCTCACGCCGCGCCCTGGCCGGGGGCTCCTGGCACGCCCCGCCCCGCCCGCTGCGTCCACACACCTGCAGGCCCGCATCGCCCCCCCCACAGGCCCCCCCCCCGCCGCCGGGTCCCTCCGGCCACACCCTCGAGGACCCCGCCCCCGACCCACACCCGGGCCTTCCCCGCCCAGTCCGCGACCCCGGAGCCGCTGTGCCCACCCGAAGCTCTCGCGGCTTGTCTGCGGCGGGTGCTGGGCCGAGCGGCCGGGGACCACCGGCTCTGAGCCAGTGCAGACTTCAGTCGGGATGCCTGCGGTCGGGAAGGAGTCTTCTCAGACCCCAGGGCAGTGAGGCAGCCGGAGGGGGCCCGCAGCCCAAATTTCCTGCGGGTGGGTTGCAGCGCCCGGCGCAGGCCTGTCTGGCGCTGAGGCTCTTGGTAGGAAAACAGCACTAAACGTTCTTCCGCGGGTTGTGAAGCAGAATGTGGAAGTAAGGCTGATAGAAAAACACGAATTTCTTGCTTCAGAGAAAGCAAGCGAGGAAATCGTTTTCTCCTGCCTTTCGGAACCGTCAGCAAAGGGGGCGCGGGCTGGAACCCCGGCTAGAAAACCTGCGGGTGCGAAGCCCCTTGTTGGGGTCTCTGCCTGGATTTTTACAGGGCCGATATCACAAGTAGTGCGGGGAAGGCGCCACACCACAGGCCAGGGCGGGCTCTTCTGACCTGGAGATCCTAAATCCAGACCACCCATTGTACCCTCCGGGTCTGAGCTGCCTGACCCCTGAACCCTCTGAAACGGTCCCGATCTCCAGCTGAAACTGTGGGTTGTGTTGTGAGGGTGACCCTGGCGCGGATCTTTGCTCTGGGCGGAAGCTGGGTGAGACTGACATCCCGTGGGTGTAGAAATCAGTCCTCACAGACTCGAGTTTCACCTGAAGCCAGGGCAGGTCCACTGCCTGGGTCTGGGGCTGGGAAGGGTCCCCGCGTCCTTCCCTTTAGGCTGCGTCGGAAGGGAAGGGAAGGGTGGTGAGTCCACCCGCAATAAACGTGAAGGCAGGAGAGAGACTGGGGTTCTCTTACACATTTGCGAGGAAAATGGAAATGAAATCAGATTACAAGACCCTGAGCGCTTTATGGTTGTCCTTAATTCCTTGCACTTAGAAGTATTAATTCCTTGTTTTCCCGTAATAATTAGCAGTAAAACCCTTCTAGGGAAAGACCTTGGGAGGAAGGGAGTTTTTGCTTGTCAGCATGAGTCCGGGGGGTTTAGCTGAGCCGGGAGGCCTCTAGGACCACAGCTGAGAAACAGACTCACTCGATCCAGAACGGTCCATGAGAAACGCGCACGTGCGGTCTTACAGGGTGGGTGCCAGTTAACAGGCGGTGAAGAGGGGGGAAGGAGTTTGTTGATGCAAAATGAACACACTTTTTAAAGATTTTAAAGAAACAGAAAACGTTTTATTGGAGCCCAAGTGAGGCCAGCGGCCAGGGACATACAATCTCCCCAAAGAAGGGAGTGCTGTGGGGAAGGAACTTTGGAGCTTTTTACGTAGAGTTCCAAATCATCATGAGGAAGGACATTCCAGAAAGTTACAGACTTACGTGTTCAATATGTGCAGGGCCGTGTGGCTTTAATCTTATGGGAACCAGGGAGGTTTTTTCCTTTTATGTCTGGAATGACTTTTTGGGTCATTTTTTTTAGTGATGCACATGTACAATGTGTGCTTGGAGCAAAAATACAGCCCATGACACACTGACCGTCACATACTGGAAAGCACCTCAGAGAAAACGTGAGGGCAACAACCCCTTTTGGTAATGAGGAAATTGCTAGAAAGCAGCCTGCCGACTGTGGGCCACACGCACACTGGATGCGAGGTTCCCCAGTTCCGGCTTCTGCCCAGGCCCGTCCCCTTGTTGGGAGCCCTTTCCCAATCCCAAGGGGGCTGGCCCAGTGACCAAGCTCACTCTCCCCTGGCTGTAGGAGGCAGGTGTGTGAGCTTCTCCTTGTGAGGGGCCCCTCTGCCCACAAATCAGGGGGTGCAGCAGAGAAGTGAGGACTGCAGGCTGACTTCTGCCTCAGTGTCCTCAATTATAAATTTGACAAAGGCACCTGCCTCCCAGGACTAAGTAAATCCGAAGTGCTTTGAGTAATGCCATAAGCCCCCAGGGAATGTTAGACTTTGTTACTATTCCTCTGGCTCAAGCTTTGCTCTCCCAGATGATAGGTGGGTTGTCTGACAGACTCATTACCATTGAGGTATTAATGGCTAATGATGAGTTAGCCAACACCGCTTCCTGCCACATTTGGATTTCAGTCAGGGAATTCTCATTGTAAGGATGCTTTTAGATGGATCCTTAACAGGATTAAGTGAATTTGTTTTAAGATCCTCATCTCACCCAATAGGAGGAAAGGGGCAGGAGAGTGAAGGAAGTTCATTCTTGGCTCAGACATGCGGTTTCCCACACTGTCTCCCATCTGCCAGGCATGTCTCCAAGCCACGGTGTCCAGAAGCAGGAAAGGGGACCCTCTCCTCTTGCACCCTCACTTTCCATTGGCCAAGTGCCCGTTCCTAAACCCAGTGCTGGCAAGGACGGAGCTGCCTTGATGCCTTGGCTTTGAGGAGGGACACATGCTGCCCCAAGGAAGAAGGTAGGGGACCCCACCACCCTCACTCGTTGTAATGCCTCAGCCCCAAGGAACGCATCAGCAACAGCAGAGCTACAGTCCTGGCGGACAATCCCAGACCTGCCAGTAGCAGCTCAGAACCTCAGCAGCTTCATCCGTAACATGGGGTTGTTGTGAGGAATACATGAGGCTGTCCATGGAAAGCACAATCTACATTATCAAGCCTCAGTCAGTCGTGAATGTCAATTATTATGATTATTACCTCCTTTTTTCCCCCAAAGGTCTTCCTCTAGTTGAACTACTTAGTGTAAATACTTAAGTGCTTAACTGGTAAATATTAATGTTTTTGGTATAGTGTGCTGTCTCAGACCCTAAGGATTTCAGATAAGGGATTGCAGACCTGTGTATATTTTTCAGAAGTGCTATAAATAAGATGAAATTTTTTCTTTAATCTTTGTATGAGAGCTATTTGTACATTTCCCCCCGTTTTTCTTAAGATTTTTTTTAAAAAGATTTTATTTATTCATGAGAGACAGAGGGAGAGAGAGAGGGAGAGAGAGAGAGATAGAGAAGCAGAGGGAGAAGCAGGCTCCCAAGGAGCAGGGAGCCCGATGCGGGACTCGATCCCAGGACCCTGGGATCATGACCTGAGCCAAAGGCAGACACTTAACCATCTGAGCCACCCAGGCGCCCATTTCTTAAGATTTTTTTATTGTGGTAAAATACACAACAGAGGAGTGGACTGTGTCTATGATGGTGATTTCTCTAAGCACCTCATGTAAGTGTAATCCTACAGGATTTGTGTTTTTGTGACTGGCTTATTTCACTTAACACGTCCATATCCTTGCCAATACTTGGATTTTTTGTAGTTTTTCAAAAAAATTTTTCAATCTTTATCATGAATATTTAGCAGAAAATATGGTTCCAAATGACGTGATATCACTTCTTCTAGGTACAATTTTCATATTGTGTATGTCTGTGTGTTTAAACACTTCCCCCAATGTGGGGCTCAAACTCACGACCCTGAGATCAAGAGTCACACGCTCTTCCAACTGAGCCAGCCAGGCTCCCCTCTTTGCTTTTTTCTAAATAGTAGCCACCCTAATGGGTGTGAGGTGGTATCTCACTGTGGCTTTGATTTGCATTTCCCTGATGATAAGTGATATTACGCATCTTTTCATGTGATTATTGGCCCTCTGTATATCAACTCTGGAGAGATTTCTATTCAAGTCCTTTGCCTGTTTTTTAATTGGGTTGTTCATTTGTTGTTGTTGTTGATTTGTAGGCGTTCTTTGTATATTTTCAATATTGATTAGTTATCAGATATATGATTTTTGCCCATTCTGTGGGTTGCTTTTTTACTGTATGGAGAGTATATTTGTGCGACATTTATTTTTCATGAAATCTTTTTCCTTTTTTGTGCCTTTTGTGTCAGATCTGAGAAATAATTGCCAAATCCAACATCCTAAACCTTTGACCTATATTTTCTTTTAAGAATTTTATAGTGGTTAGGGGCGCCTGGGTGGCTCAGTCATTAAGCATCTGCCTTCAGCTCAGATCATGATCTCTGGGGTCCTGGGATTGAGTCCCGCATCAGGCTCCCTGTTCTGCGGGAAGCCTGTTTCTCCCTCTCCCACTCCCCTTACTTGTGTTCCCTCTCTCGCTGTGTCTCTGTCAAATAAATAAATAAAATCTTAAAAAAAAAAAAAAAGAATTTTATAGTGGTTAAGTCTTACATTTAGAGCTTTGATCCATTTTCAGTTACATTCTGTATATGTGTGAGGTAAGGGTCCAATGTCAGTATATGGCGTGAGGTAAGAGCCCAGTGTCATTCTTTTGTGTGTGGACATCCCGTTTCCCTAGCACCATCTGTTGAGAAGATTCCTTTCCCTGTTGAATGATCTTGGCACCCTTGTCAAGAGTCATTTAACCACAAATGCAAGGGTTTATTTCTGGGCTCCTGATTCATTTCTGTTAGCCGGTCAGTCTGCTTCTCAGCCAGAACCACAGTGTTTGATTACTGTAGTTTTCTGGTCAGTTTTGAAATCGAGAAGTGTAACTCCTCCAGCGTTTTCCTTATTTTTCAAAATTGTTTTGGGTTATTCAGGGTCCCTTGAGATTCCATATGAGTTTTACGAAGGACTTTCCTATTTCTGCAAAAATATCATTGGGATTTTGATAGGCATTGCATTGAATCTGTACATCACTTTGGGTAATACTGATATTTTAACAATATTAAGTCTTCCCATCCATGAGCACAGGATGTGTTTCCATTTATTTTTTAACTTCTTTGAGCAGTGTTTTGTAGTTTTCATTGTACAAATCTTCACCTCCTTGATTAAATTAATTCCTAAGTATTTTATTCTTTTTAATGCTACTGTAAGTGAAGTTATTGTGTAACTTCCTTTTCAGATCATTGTGTACAGAAATGCAACTGATTTTGTGTTGACTTTGAATTCTGCTACTTTGCAGAATTCATTAATCAGATCCAAACAGTTTTTTGTGGGGTCTTTAGGATTTTCTACATATAAAATCAAATCATCTGCAAACATATGTTTTACTTGTTCATTTCCAATTCGAAGGCCTTTTCTTTTTACTGCTTAACTGCTCTGGCTAGAACTTCCCATACTATGTTAAACAGAAGTGGTAAAAGCAGCCATCCTTGACTTGTTCCTGATCTTCCAGGAAGAGCTTTCTTTCATTGTCTGCTGTGTTTTTTCACATACCGCTTTTATTATGTTAGGGTAGTTTCCTTCTATTCCTATTTTGTTGAGTGTTTTTTTCATGAAAGGGTGTTAAATTTTGTCAAATGCTTTTCCTGCATCAAGATGATTGTTTTTCCCATTTTGTTTGATGTGGCATATCACATTTATCAATTTTTGGGTGAATCATCCTTGCATTCCAGAAAAAAATGACTCTTGGTCATGGTGTATAATCGCTTTAATATGAATTGTTTGC